TTTGGCATTCAGTAAGGATCTACTCCAGCCTAGAGCCATTTTTGCAGTTGTAGAGTGAGCACCAGCATTGGTAACTACAGATGGCACTGAAGAGATGAGCACTGATACTCTGAACGTGTACCACACGCAATTTACAGTGATTAGCTGAGGTTGACATCGAAGTGAGTAGAGGATGTATGGATTTAAAACATTCCTTAATACGTTTCATTTACAAAAGAAGTCTATTTAAACAACACACAAGATGACTCTAAAATCCACCACAGCAAGGAAGAGTGCAGCTCAAGAGGAAAGGCTTGACTTTATGTTCTATTTCAAAGTCTTTTTAAACTGCTCTCTGCTTTCTTTTCCTTGAGGGATAAACAAAGGCTTACTCAAAAGACAGAGACCATATACCTGGCATTACTTAAGCAATAGGAATTCATATTTCTAGTAAAAGTATGTAAGCAGATAACAGAAAGTGATAGCATAAGATTAATAAAACCCACTGTTATTTAATAAACCTACTGTTATCTAAATAAGATCAATAAATCCTACTGTTATCTAATAAACCTACTGTTATCTAAATAAGATTAATAAAACCTACTGGCTTTACAGTATGGTAATAATGCTTAATTAAAAGACTGCAGGTGCTAGATTTCAACAGAGGCATGTTTTTCCAGAAAAGGATTGCTTATTGACAAGACCGCTACCAGGAAAATCTGTCCCTAAGATAAAAACTTCCAAAAAGTATACTGTGCTGCCATGCAATGAAAGTTCTGAGTTCTTCTACATTTTTGAAATCCCATACAATACAATCTAGGATACAAAAATAGAATATTGTCCCAAATATTCAATGTTTGCTTCTTTCCACAAAGGACAGAAACAACACTGGAAGGATCCTATGGAGGAAGAATGCTTTGTTATTTGTTCTGGCCTTTAGCAAAACAGTCCTGGCTTTCTCTCTGGCTCTGTCTACAGAGGCAAGACCACAAAGCCCTTTCTGTCTAAGATAACTGGCACATGTGGTGACTGGGAGGATCTGTTAATGCATGTCTTTCAGCTGCTGTGCAAAACTACTGTGGCAGTGAATGCCTTGGAGCTGAAGCATCCATACTTCTCTCTTAACCTTCTGTGCTTTTGGCTTTCCAAGCAGTGGCAAAAAAAAAAAAACCTATGTAAGACTTAGTGATGCCCATTCAGCTGGGTACATCTTAGAAAAAGAGGTGGATTACAACTGGGCAAAATCAGTTGTGTTCTATTTGTCGACTAGCGTTTGGCTGAACACAGTGAGCAGAGACGAGCAGTTAAAGTTGAATCAAAGTGTCTGTGGTGCACTAGAGACTTAGAAGCAAGCACAGAAGGACAAAGGGAGCCTGGAGACAAGGAAGCAGGTAATCCTTTTGTGGGCAAAATCCTTTCTAACTGGAGATGGAAGATGTTGGGCAGACCGTGGAGAAATACTGTATAGCGCGGAGGAGGAATTCAGCAGCAGTAGGATCCTAGTCTCTGAACTTTTGGTCTTCAGAGGTACTTGGACAAGAATCCTACAAAGCAGATGAAAGATTCATCCCAACAGTGCTTCAGAGCAGTGACAAAATAGAGCTAGGGAAATGCATACAGATATATATATATATATATATATATTATGCCACTCATTGTATTTCTTATGAAAGATGAAGTAAAGAATGGTGGGTTTTGAACACCGTGTCTGTGTTTGCCAAGAGTCTATATCTACTTCCTGCCTCCAAACACGCAACCCTAAGGATTGCTGTTCTGTCTTTGATATATTTACAACTTCAAAGTTGAAAATGTACTGTGAAAGGAAGAGACGAATAGTCTTATATCATTGTTACGCTCATTTACATTCCTCTTAACGGTGTATTACTGTGTATACAGTAAACATTTCCCATCTGGTTAATATTGGACAATATAATGTAGATGGTACGTAAAAAGAAAAAAAATGAAGACTGCAACTTTTTCACCTGACATAAGCAATACGACATTCAGCCTTAAAAGAAGCCTCTAGTATTTACTAATCAATTATATATATGCCCACTCCCTGGAATTGTTAAAGGCCAGATTCACTGGGGCTTTGGGCAGCCTGATGTGGTGGAAGGTGTCCCTGTTCCAGACAGAGAGTTGGAACTAGATGATCTTTGGGGTCCCTTCCAATACAAACCATCCAATGATTCTACGATTCTCTATATAGCTATTTAGTATTGTTTAATCATTAATGCTTCATTGGCTGTCAATTTATCCAAGATTTATTTCCATGAAACCTGTCATTACCATTTCACATCCTCTCTTGGGGAGAATCTGCATCACAAATGTGTGCATATATAAATGATGCATTAAAATTGCATGATTAAAATTAATCAATCTAAAAATGCAAATTATGAGATCCCCAACCTCTGAAGCAGTACCCAAGTGAGAGAAGGTGATTGTCTACAATACCACACCATCCAGAGTTTTTTTGAAGATGCTCAGGACCCATTTATCCATCAGAAAAATACTAATGAGACTCAGACCTGCAGTGTATTGGTCAGCAACAGTGGGCATTCATTCAGTTTTCAGCTTGATTTCAAATAAGTCATTTCTTCTGGCTGATAGCATTAACATTTATCCAGTTCTTCCTTAAGCTGTCAATGTTCAGTGCCCTGCAAGGCAAGGAGGTGAGGATGACAACAGATAAGACATTGCTTGGCTCTCTGCTTGGAACTCAGTATCCTGGAGAGCTGAGCCAGAGTCACTTATATGAGAATAGGTCTTTACAGCCAACTCCCACTGTTTTCTTTTGCTCTTACAATTGCAGGATCTGCTTTGCCACTGACTTTTTTTTGGTCTCCTAATATTTAAAGCATGATGGGATCCTGCAGAATTGTATTGTGTGTGACTGAAGGAGTTGTCTAAATTTTTTCTGGCGCGAAGTGGTCCCACTGAAAGTGCTGATGTCTGTATGGATAGGAGAGATGTGATTTTAAGGAAAGGGACATATTTAAGAAACTATCAGAGTATCATGGAATCATAGAATATCCAGAGTTGGAAGGGACCCATAAAGACCATTGAGCCCAACTCCTGTTTCCACACAAGACCACCCAAAAATCAGTACATATGTCTAGGCTCTTGCATTCTTTATAGGGAGGGGCCTATGGGGCCCCATGGGGTCTCTGTTACATGTAACTATATTATCTTCTTATATGTAGGAAACTGGACCTTATCTTTATCTGAGTACTTTGGTCAGATACGGACTAAAGACTAGATTGTCATTTCATGGCCTTCGTGGCAGAATGGTGAGAACCAAATGTATGTAAATTCTACCCTAAGTCTTCTGCTGTCTTGGGTTCTCCTAAGTTTTCTCAAAATACCTCAAGTGCTGGTGCATCTCCCAGCCTCAGACCTGCAAGTCAAGTGAAAATGTCACCTGGGACCTCCAGGTAACTTTCACAAACATGGTTTCTCAGCAGTAGCAGTTTTTTGACCTTCCAGCAGTCTCACTCACCTTATCCATGCTTTGGTTTGGAAGCCAAAGGATAGCACAAAAGATCACTATCTATGCTATGGCTAGTGTAAAATACAGATTTATTAGTGCTCTGGCCAGATTTTGGACACGGCACTGTCAATATGGTAGTGTTTGGAACTGAGTTTTCAATAGATATAGCACCTCATATCATTTTTTTTTAAATTAGAAAAAAAAAAAATCCCAAAATGTGACCTATAATATGCATGGGCTTTGTTAGAGCAGCCTTTAGGGTCCACTCATTCACAGTTAAATGATGATGCAGAAAACAATCAAAATTTTACAAGAATATTTTTTAAAAACTGTTTTTCAGCCTTTCAGATCCAAATGCCTGAAATAACTGTTTTCAGTTTACCTGAAAATGTTAGGCTGACAGGAGGCACAGAAAGACTTTAGGCAGAAAGTAGGGAGATCTGTAAATGTATAAACAGACGAAAACAGGGTTCATAACAGAAACTGCAACCTTAGCTAGAGAATTCCTTCACACTGGAATGTGTGTAAAGTGCCTAATAACACACACCCTTGTGTTGGCACGATCCTTATTTAAGACACTGGACAAATACGTATAGCCAACAATATGCATTACAGCAATTGACCTTGGACCTAATGATCAATCAGCAGTTGTAGTTAATATCCCTTAGATGGGTGTCAGGGGAGTAACAACAGCAGCCGGTGTGTAGATTTTACAAGGTTTGCTTTCTTGTACTGTACACAGTAAAGTTACAGTACGCAGGTATCAGGTGGACTACACAAAAGCCAGATCTCTTTAGGGAAGTCAGAAGTTTAGAACAGCCATTAAATGCAGACAGTGAAAGTATTTCCTTTATTATGTACACAGAGGTAACCATGTGAGATGGCATATAGTAAGCATCCGAGTTATCGGAGCTGCACACACACGCACAAAGAGAAAAGCGTGAAAGAAAGGGTTTCAGAGCTATTAATTGAGATTAGCATTCTAATTTATTCTCACCATGTACAAAGAATAAATATAATGCTGATGGCTCCTTTTTTCCCTGTACACAATCTGCCCGCAGCATTTGCCCGAGAACAGGAGAGGCTACCTTTGTTTCATATGCGTCTACTCTTGCTACAGTGCAAAAACCATCCTTTGTTGTGCTGGGAAGCGGGAGGTGTGCACAGAGGTGTAAGAAATCCTGAGCCTGGCTTCTGCTTGTTCTGACCTCCCCGGTGGATTACACACACAGCACAACATGGTCATTAAAATGAAATGACCCGGTGCCTCATCAGCTTGCTATATGTCACCGTATGGACAGACAAGCAGCAATAATTGCTCTGATGAGGAATTTTTCTTTTCCTCCTTTTCACAGCCCTGGCTGTGTGCTGAGGAGGAAGGGGACCTGAAGTCTCTCTCCTTGCATCCTTACCCAACAATCTGCTGGGTACCACACATCCCTCTCCATCTCCCTGCACCCTTTGTTTAAAGTGGCACATCCTAAGGCACGGTCCGTGGGGAGGGAGGGGGGAAAAAGAGATATTTACTTACAGAGCAGTGGCGGGCAGCTAGTGTCACCTCCTGGACCTGGGGCAGAGGGTCACATCCATTAACAGCTGTGCCACGAACACACTGGCCTGCTTGCTGAGGTGCAGCCAGCCGAGGCTCTCTCCTGCCTGCTGAGAGCAGCTCTTCTCATTTCAGCTCTGCAGGCAGCGTGGTGTGGAAACAGCCTGCTGCCTTCCCCAGCCCAGTGAAACCCCTCGGTATCATTTTACCATATAAGGAGACAAAAGCATCGGAGACATTCATTCTTGTAGGCTCTCTGCAGCTGGCACCCGGCACTTGCTCTCTTCCAAGGGTGTCAATACTTCCTCCTCCTAAACATCTTGGCTTTGTTGGCCCCCTTCCTAAAATAAGGCTCCCCCCGCCTCCTCCAGCCTTTGTTTCTTTAAAACCCCTGATGCTTATTAATAACACAGCTCAGCTAAAGCTGAGGGGTCTTGCTTTACAGAAGGAAAGAGTTTGCAAGCCAAATGTTTGTACGTCTCTTCACCTGGCTGAGAGAATAAAAGCATCTGGTTAAGGTCAGTCACTTGGCTGCTTTGCCTCTATGACAGCGCCTTGCTCACAGACGAGTGAAAAAAACTGTCTCTCCCTTGGTGGAGAGGTGCATATTTTTATGAGGAGCAAGACTGCAGACTTGTCTTTGTGAGCATTCAGAGCCCCTTGTTTCCCCCTCCCCTTTTTTCTTTCTTTCTGAGTCTTCCTGTAATGAGGTGGGGGGAAGAAAAGCATGGGAAATCAGTGAAGGCAAAAAGCCCCTTGTGCAGGAGTGAGCCAAGGGAGCAGATTGCCTCAGCACATGCTTGGGACCCAGCACAGAGCCCTGCCAGTGTGCACATGCTAAGAAGAGGGTGAGCCATTAATCCTCCTATAACCAGGAATGAATTTTTCTGCTGCAGAATCCAATTTCATTTATTCTAGCAGTATAAATGGGCTAGCAGAAACACATTCAGTTAATCAAAACAGTGAGGGTCCTGGGAAGAAACTGGATCAGAAGCAATGGGGGTGACTGCTCTCTGCCAGTGGAGGGGTAGAGTGGGAAGGCAATTCAAGATAACACCTCACTGACGCCTGATGGGAGGAGGTGCTTCAAATCAACCACCAGGAAACCAGCAAGATAAAAAAGTAAAGCCCATTAGCCTGCTGTTGTTTTGCAAGGTAGTCCAGCATCCTTTCTGTTCGTCCTGGCTCGTGCTTGGGGTGGTGGTGCAGGTAACAGATCACAGACCACTACAGGACCACAGGATGGCAGAGGAAGAGCCCTCAGGGTCCCTCAGGCCCACCCCCCCTCCAACAGGGCACCCAGAGCAGGGTATCCAGGGCCATGGCCAGGTGGCTGCTGGAGACCTCCAAGGAGGAGACTGTTCAACCTCTGGGCAGCCTGTGCAGTGTTCCATCACACACATAGCACAGAAGTGCTGCTTGAGATGAGTTTGCTATGGGTTTCTCCTGAAACAAACAAACAACAGATACACACAAGCAACAAAAATCATGTACCAGAACCCTGACTTGCACTCACTGTTCTCTTGCATACCTGAATGGTAGTTAAATTTTGAAGGGGAATTAAACATTAGTCAGACTCAGCTCTACTCAAAATCTACCAAAAGCACAGACAGAATAAAATTACAAGAAAGGGCCATTTCTAGTTCTTCTCTGCAGAGATGAGTTATTCTGGTGTCCTACAATGACCACGGATCTGTCTGATGCTGTGGCCCTTATAATCGCATTTTCAAAGCATGGGCATTTTGTCCTAGAGGACCAACCATGGATGTATGGGACCGTGGAGTTTGGTTCCATGGTAATTAAAGCTCCTTTAATTCAAAGCTCTGCACTCCCCAGCCATGTGTTGCTAGCTACTCCCTTACATTGGCACTGGCACTGGCAGATGAGTTGAACCAGACACTGAGCAATTTTCAGTGAGCCCTTAGGCTTCCATAGCTGCACACCTGTCTTCAGAGGGCTGCTGGCTGGGCGTCTACTCCTATCATTGGCTTTTCTGATGCCCTCAGACAAGATATTGCATCTTTCTGGTCTTTAGTTTCCTTATCTGTAAATATAGGGCTCAGGAGAGCCACACTCTTGTACGAGTTGTTGCAAAATGTACAAAGGATCGGTTAATGCAGAATAACAACAATAATAACCTTTTTTCCTTTTGCATTGAATTATTTCACAATGACAACAATGTGTTACTTTCAATGTGAGCTACAGCTCTTAGCTCAGCTCCGATTTAGAAGCGGATGAAGTGCGTGAAGAATAAAAACAAGCCTTGAAGGTGATTAGATTTGGAATATTTGTGCCGTTCATTTCCAGGCCTTTCCAAAAGAAATTAAATATTTTGAATATGTTATTTGATTTTTTTCTATTTCCATCATATTCACTTCCCTATCTGTCCACTGACAGCCAAGGCAGCAGCTCTGCCAAAGATTTTTTGATGTGAGCTGCTGGAACACACTACAGTGTTTTCCCCAATTATAAGTTAAAAATACATGCTGGCTCTAGCTGAAATTGATTAGCATAACTATTGCAGGCCATGGGTTGTCTTTGGTAAGATAAGATTATTTTTGTCTGATTTATCCAAAAATCTCTTAGTCCTTGAAGGCAAAAGAACCTCTGTTGATTTATAACCCAGATTTATAACCTCCCTGTGGGACTGTGGACTCACTATTGCTCCTGACACTCAGCATCAAGCCTGCATGGAGCTGGAAAGAGGGAGAGTTACCAGGCAACCCTTTTCCTCATCCCATGATGCGGTGAGTGCACTCCACCAAACATGACTCTTCTTTAGGGCTGAAATACAAGCACATTTCTGTGCCATTCTGTGCAATTCAGAACCATAGCCTATGGCTTATGAGTTTCTCACCTATGTTGCATTTATGTTTTGTTCTTCATGGTCTATGTGCTTTAAGAGGTTTAAATCTGATACGGAGATAGCAATACCTCACGTATAGGAAATGAGATGGGAAAAATATCATACATACACTGGGACTTGTCAGTGGTTTCACCAATCCTTCAGAAATCTCGCTTTAACTACTAGGCTGATGCCTCAGTAACTACCATTCCAACACTTATCTCCTTTTTTCTGGCTGAAAAGATTAAACAAACAAAAATAGTGGAAAAAGATGGCTGAATGTGGAATATTTCTATTTCCCCTAACCTGAGTCACAGAGAAACTTAATGTCTGTGAGGGAGCAGGGAAGGTGGAAAACAGTGCCTTAACATTTGAAAATAGCTCAGCTACTGACTGATTCCTTCCATCATGATTTTATCCTGGAAATAGTTTTGATACTTTATCAAAATTCAACAAATCCCTTTCTGATGCTGGAACCCATGTAATACAAGCTCCGTTGGACATGAGAAGGTGCGTTTAGGAAAACTGCTGTTTCTAGCAGTACTGCTTAGGAAATTGTGTATGCTTGTGCAGACGTTGCATTTTAGTTCATTAAACTTGAAATAACAACAAGGCAATATTAACTCTTTCTGAAATTTCATTCTGATACAATATTCTTAGATGTCTCATTTTCCTCAAGCGTATGAAGAATATACAAATACTAAATGGTTTGGTTTTAGTCTATATTTTATTTCCCCATTCAGTCTCCCGGTCTTAAGTCTTTTTGCAATATTCTGATCTTTTTTCTTTTCTTTCTTTTTTTTTTTTTTTTTTTCCCACCTGAGTGAGTAGAGAATCAAGCAGAAATAATCATAAATATGTAGAATATGTAAGAAGTATCAGGGTTTCACAAACTGAACAAAGTACAGAAGCACATTAAATCCATTGCAACCAAGGAAGAGTACTTTTTTACATGCACTGGAAGCCTGCCTAATTTAGGTTGATGCACAGCTTTTATAAGGATGTTTAGCCTAAGTCAGTATGAAAAGCTTAGTATTTTAGAAATTCCAAACTAATATAGAAAATAAGTATTTCCAGTGTTTCCTTTCTTAATATATTTTCCACCAACAGTTTTAACAATTTCAGTTTTAACAATTTTCTTCAGTGAATTTCGAGTAAGATGCCATGGCTCAGTAGCACTGAAGATCCTCTGTTTTTGTATAGGAGCTGTTATCCCCAGAAGGAAAACGTGTAGTTATCCATATTGTAGTATCATATTATATGTCTGTCAAGGCCTTCACTGGACAAGCAGCCTTGTCAGAAGAGACATCCTGTATCCTCATGGTTTAGAAGCCCATAACAACCACTTTAGGCTAATGGAAGCCCATTGGACAACTCCCCAAGACACAGATGTTTGTTTTGTGCAAACCAGCCATCCTGGAGAGCCATCAAGTGAAGAAACCATGAAGAGTGGTATCAAATATATCAAAGAGAGTGGAAGGTAGCAATTCTTGTTGCAGTTCTTTCCTTCCCTGCTTCCTCTATCAGTGTTTCTTCTTTTTTCCCCCTTTTAGTGAACAGATGGTGACTCTGCTTCTCAGGAAATCAGAATGAAACATTTTGTTTTCTGTCATCCTCACACCTCCTCGGTCTCTAAGCATTCCCTAAGCCCTTCAGCTCTGTAGTTAGTTTATCTATGACCACCAGGGACGGAGATCCCGGTTTCACACCTTTGGAAGCGCCACAGGATCAAGAGACTAGAGCTTCTGGCAAGAGTTGAGTGGTCTTTAGAAGTGCTAATTTTCATGACGCTCCTAGGCACAGAGCTTTATTAAAATAATCTTAAAGACAGGGATGAGAAAGCATTTCTTCTTTGCTTTGTTGCTCAAAAGTATTTTCTCTGTACATCGTAGAGGACACCCAGGTAACAGTGCAAAGCCCTCTGTGGAGGAACTTTTGCTTTTTTTCTTTCCTCTGGATTCTGCTTGATTTCCATGCGTGGTCCCACTTATGACAGATGGGAAGAGGCTTTGGGGTTTCCTATCCTTGCAGATGGAACCTGAGCTGTCAATTTACTACAGAGCTCATAGTAATTGCTGGTCTTCCGAATTGGCAAATGCAACCCCTTAATTAAGGCTTTATTCATTTTGATATAATCATGATTTACAGTTCCCAGTTTCAGACATATGAAACAAGCACACTGTGATTGTTCCAAAAGCCTAATCACTCTGTATTTTTGATAGCACAAGAGACATGCAATTCTGTACAAAATAGCTCACATACCTAGGCGCTTCCCTCAGTGTTCCCACTGAGCTCTAGCGTTTTTAGGCAAAACCCCCTTTCAAGAGTCCTCCCCCGCTCACTGCTCCACTACCCCATGGTTTCTCCTCCAAAACATTAGTTCTGAGAGAATATTTTCCTCCTGCTCCCATGAATACCTTTTCAGCTAGCATCTTTTATGACCCTTTAGAGAGAGACAATA